AATAGTGTCCCACTGTGTATATATACATTTCCTCTCTCCCTTCATCCTTTGATGGACACCTAAGTTGCTTTCGGATCTTGGCTACTCTGAGCAATGCTACAGTGAACAGGGGAGTGCAGGTCACTCTTCAGTGTACTGATTTCAGTGCCTTTGGATATACACACAGAAGTGGGATTGCTGGATGGTACAGTGATTCTATTTTTGCTTTTTTAGGAACCTCCATGCTGTTTTTCCCAATGGCTGTTTAATTTAGATTTCTACCATTAGTGCTAAGGCTTCCCTTTTCTCCACTTCCTTGCCAACACTTATTATCATTCATCTTTTTGATAATAGCTATTGTGGCAGGTGTGGAATGATATCTCATTGTGGTTTTAATTTTTTTTTTTTTGAGTTGGAGTCTCACTCCGTCGTCCAGACTGGAGTGCAGTGGCCGCTCCCGGCCGCCGCAGCCTCGACGTGCTGGGCTCCGGCGATCCTTCCGCCTCAGCCTTCCAAGTAGCCGGAATTACAGGCACGCGCTACCACGCCCGGTTGATTTTTTGATTTATTGTAGAGATGAGGTCTCGCTGCTCAGGCGGGTCTCGAACCCGCGGGCTCAGGCAATCCGCTCACCTCAGCCTCCCAAAGGCGCGGGATTACAGGCTGAGCCACCGAGCCCGGCTTGTGGTTTTAATTTAAATCTATTTCTGAAACAAACCCTTGTATCCAGGGCTTGGTTGGCCATATAAAATTTGTACATTAGAATCTACAGAATCCTGCCTTTCCAACCCATCCCCCTTTTAAAAAAAGTCATACAAAGCCTACGTAAGTTCATTTATTTTTGCATTAAGGTTTTCTTTCGATACATGTTGACAGTTGTGGTGGATTCCAACAGAATTTGTCTCCTATAACCAAGTTATCCCTCAAGTTTTGACTGGTCTTTGTTTTCCTTAATGGATTTTGTGGAGTTGTTTTTAATGAAGGGCTCTGAGCTAGACTGTCACTTGCTTTTTGTCTTTTTCACAAGAAGTCTTGGAATTTGGCCCATGTAGTAGAAAGAACTTTTGATTTCAGAGCTCAGGATATTTTTTTCTTACATTTGCTCAGCGATAAATGCAGGCAGACATTCACAACTCCACCCAACATGCTTAGCATTCACCTGTAGTTCAACAAAACCAGTCAGCCAGTGGTTGAAGTGAAGGGCATTTAATACATCTAGACAAAGGAGATTGTGTATAGCATTTGTTCTCAGTGAATTTTCATGTTCATCTTCTCAGAAGAATGTCTTCTTTATGCTTTTGAATAAAAAAATGACTTGGGAGAATATAAAAATTCAAGGAAAATATTCATATTTTAGAAAAAAGAAGCTGTACAAGCAAGTCTCATTTTTTAGGACAGCTGTATAACCTTTAATTCACATGAACACCCACATATCTTTTAAAACCTGCTTCCTCACCACTCTGACAGAATTTTATCTCTTCACTGTGGAGATTTCTCTAGAGAGTACAGTACTGCATCATTTTGACAAACCTGAATAGGAAGAGATGAATGTTCCTCATCTCTGAAACACTTAAGGGTAAGTTGCTTTAACCAGTTTCCTGTTTTTGGAGGCTATTTTTCTGTCATCCCTTCAAATTTATCAAGGTTCATTTAATTCTCTTAAAAGCCATATTTTATAAGAAGTGGAATTCTCCTTGCAGTAGTACTCATTGCTGTGTTGTTGGAGTCACCCTCATTGCTGTTATTATCCACGAGGGCCACAGGGCCTCTTACGTAGCAAGAAGAACTGTGTATGGAAGGGAACCACAGCCGTACACGACTCCATCTGAGTTTGACTGCTGTCATTCAGAAGATTTGGTGATCTAAAGTAGAGGCATGGTAAACAAAATACAGGATTCTTGTGAACTAGATTAGGGGTTAACATACAGCAGGTGAGGCAAAAGCAGCCCACTGTCTGTTTTTATTTTGTGAACTGAAAATGGTTTCTACAATTTTAAATGGTTGAAAAAAATCAAGATTAATAACATTACTATGACATTTGAAAATCATATGAAATTTAAATTTCAGTGTACATAATATAATTTTACTGAAGTAGTCACAACCGATTGTGCATATGTTGTCTATGACTGCTCTCGTGCTGTAACAACAGAGTAGAGTAGTTGCCTGGTTGAATAGTTTCTGTGGAAACCACGTGACTCTCAAAACCCCAAATGTTTACTTTCTGCCCTTTAGAAAGTTTACTGGTCACTGGGCTAGATTATTACATCACAATCAAAGCGGTGCTATATAAAAATATTTAATTTTAAGACAAATGTTTATGATATAATATCTAATGAAACAATTACAACAAATAGTATATACAAGATTATTTCAAATAGTTTTTCTCTCTTTGCGTAATTTTTGCCTCTTTCCCCTTGATAAAATGCAAGTGCCATGAAAGCAAAAGGAAAAAAAAAGAAAAAAAAGACATTTATTAATTTATGTGTTTAGATTCAGGTTCTAGAACAGTGAGTGCTTGGCCTATAGTAAATATTAAAGAAACAATAAAGATCAGTTGAAGACTGATGAATTATGTGATTGTGTAATGTATATATGTACTAATAGTCACAGCAAAATATTTCTGGGGCATGCATCTATGATAGGCACAGTGTTGACAATTTTAAATGCATGTATCTCATTTCATCCTAAGAAAGTCAATTTGGGAAGGTACATTATTGACCTCATTTTGCAGAAGAGGAAAGCAAGATTTAGAGAGGTTACATAATTTGTCTAGTATCACAAAGCTAAGAAGTAATAAGCAGATTTCAAAAGGTCTGTTGGGTTCCAGAATCTGAACTCTAACCATAACCCCTCATTCCCCTGCAACTTAAAAAAAAAAAAAATTTCTAAAAGCAATTTATATATTCAGGTGAGAAAAAAAGAGATAGGAAAACACTGGAGGTAAATGTCCAAATAACAGAGCCAATTGTTGGGATATTAAAATTATAGATGATTTTTTTTCTTAGCTATGTATTTTTGTTTTTCTGCATTTCATAAAATGAGTGGATTTACTTTTAATTACTTTTACAATAAGAAACAAATATTTCTAAAGGGAAGAAAAAACAGCCCAGCAGGTAAACAGTTGTTTATGTAGATCAGTTCCTTGTTGCTCTGAGGGCCTTGCATGAATTGCTGAGGAAACTGCTGTCTGTCTGCCCCACACATTGATTTGTGTTGCTGAAGTTTAGTATTAAGTTTCAACTCCCTCTGAATACCTCTTTGCCGTGAGCATGCAAATGCTACTTGTGTATGTTTAACTTTGGTTCAAAGACACTGACAGATAGAGCTTCTTGGTGTTTGTCTTTAGACGCCTGAAATATGCATCTGTGAAAGCTGTGTGTTTTCTATTCATATCGACACTGGTCCAGGCCTGTCTTCTACCATGGGATGGACTGCTTTTACCTGGAATTTATACTTAAAAAAAATAGGTATTGTATTTGGGATATACACATATAAAATTATATCTAAGGAGATAATTGGGTCCTAGTAGCTCCAAATCATTCAGTAAAGTTAAAAGAAAAAGAAAGGAGAGAGAATATTACAAGTGAAGCTTTTCATTTATGACTGATGTTTCTTTCTCTACTTTTCTTATAATTCTGTGTCAATGATGGGGCATCTTTTCTGCAACCCAAGGACTTTTAACATGCCCTGACTTAAATTTCAAGGATAAAGGAATAAAGTTTTTTCTTTTGAACAATTATAAAGATTTAAGTGAACACTATTAAAACTATTGAGTTTAGTGTAACACCAAATTCAGGAGCAGTTATTAAGAGGTCTGTTACCTGTTGAAGACTGGAAATAAGAACGCTATAAGAAAGCAAGAAGGCAAGCAACACAGGCAGCAAAATAGATGTTTCTAGTAGACAATGAATAAAGTTATAGATTGAGAACATTCAAAACTATTTAAGAGGGGTTTTTTAAATTCCTGTGACATGTCTGAGCATTCCAGTCATAACTTCAGAGGCCTCTGTTGTTCCGGCGTGTTAAGAATGAGATAAGTGGCCTTATTCAGATTTTTGTAATTTAGTTGTTTTTATCAAGAGCATCATTTCAGATTTTTGACTTACAGGCAAAGCTGCTCAATGCCATCTCTTTGTAACTTTATTTGGCAGAAATGGGGGCTTGGAAGTGGTGTCACTGTTTTAAAGCCTGAAGTGCTGTTTAATATGCCCCAATTATGGTTTTCTTTGTTTATGAGGACATCACTCATCCTTCTTTATACAGTTTAGCAATGAAAGAAATTGCATTTCTAAACTATCAAGAATGAGACAAAAACAATTTGAATGATAGATTTAAAAAAATCATCTATGCACATGCAGTTGAAGAACTGACATTTGCTTACATACACTGTGAGGTTATGTGTGAATAAATGGTCCCTCACTAAGAGCACTGTTGGGCTTGCACAGTTTCTATCAGCAGAGAAAAATACTTCTTGCTTCTCCCCCCCCCCCCTTTGGAGATTATAGTGATTGGTGTGAACCATACAATTTCACTTTTAAATTTGCGACTTCTAAAAATTCTTTTTCTTCCTGACATCATAATGTGGCCTCAGAAAATCAGACAGTTGTTATTACAAATAGAGAGCAGCTCCACTCAGACATTCAATAGACAATTATAAATGTCTGGATTCTTTCCCTTTTTGTGGTGGCTGCTTTTAGATGTGGAATAAAACCACATTAACCAGAGGGTGTTGTTATAGGTGGCTAGTAGCCTATTCCTGCCACATGTATAAAGTATCTTGTTTTAAAAAAGTTTTTCACTGTCTAACAACAACTTTCTGCTTTATAAGACTTCTAAGAGGAAGCATTGAGGTATGAAAGTATTAAAACTTCAGAAAACAAAGGTACCACATAATGTAGTCTGATCAAACTCTCACATTTGACAGGTAAGCGAGTCAGACTATGAAAGAATGAATGACCTGTTCAACACACACACTGAGTCAATAGTGTGCTGAAAACCTGTTTGTTTTTCTGGTTCTATAGATGGCCGCCCTTATCCCATCATTCTCTGGGATGCATCTTTATCTCCAGCAAGTAATGATACCCATTCTTCTGTTAAACTCACCTGGGGAACTTATCAGCAGCTGCTGAAACAGAAGTGCTGGCAGAATGGGCGAGTACCCAAACCTGAATGGGGTTGTACTGACATACATCACCATGAATGGTCCAAGATGGCTCTCTTTGATTTTTTGTTACAGGTAAGTTTTTCAAATCAAGTAAGTGGTTATCTAAAACTGGAAGTGAGTTATATTAGCTTGACACTAAGGAATTTTCAGTACCTGGAGTTTTTATGAAGCCAGAGTTTACATTCTGTAATGCTGCATTTGACAAGTGTAGTCTCCACATGGAATTATGTATTATTTTGGGAAATAATAATAAATGTTTCTCAGCTCTATTATTAGTTTCTGAAGAAGTAATCTACTAATCATCCTACATAATTATACTCAATTTATTGAGCTACTTAAAGCTGGAGCTGGGATTTCTGGGACTTATTGATGGTTTATTTGTCTTCTTTTCATCATTCTGCACTGGATTTCAGTGGTTACTTGGCCATACAGCTTATAGTCACCATTTTATTTATTGCAAATTAAGATTCTACACTGGAGAATAATAAATATTGACCATTTACATAATTGCATGACTTCTGACATTTTATGTTTTTAAATAACTCTTTTCTCCTTTTGATAAAAATTTCATGACTCTTCCCAATTCCTTATTTTGATTACTGGCTTTCTTTTCCCCCAACTTAGAAAAACTAGTTTTCTGTTGTTATACTGTTAATTAGTATCTTGTGGAAATTTAGAACTGCCTTAGGACATTTGCAAAACATTCTCCTTTTGTTAGTTCCTCTGTGTGTGTGTGTGTGTGTGTGTGTGTGTGTGTGAGAGAGAGAGAGAGAGAGAGAGAGAGAGAGAGAGACTCAAAGAAAGAAACTGGAAAGAGACAAAAATGTAGGAAGAGACCCAGTTTAGAACAGTCACAGAACAGAGTCGCAGTCTAGGTAGGGAACAGGAACTTTGATGGAAAGAAGGATCTTTGGCATTAGTGATGTATAGCCACCAGTAAGGACTGAACTAGAAAGCAAGCCATTTGATTTGGCAAGGAGGCATTCAATAGTCACCAAATGTTTTCTCCATAAAGAATATTGATGAGTCTAGATATAAGGCTCTAACAGGTTTTAAGTGTAGTGTATGCATTATCTTATTTTGTTTAATTAACATACTAGTTCTATGAAATAGGCACCCATTTTCCATTTTATAGGTAGCAAAATTGAGGCATAGAGAGATTATGATCAGGAATTATGCAGAATCTGAGATTTTACTTTACTTGGGTCAGAGACAAATAACTTTATTACTTGTAATATAGAAGATAACATGTTCTTCATGCTATCTTGCCCTTCAAGTTCCACAGAGCTAATACAGAGTGGCCCTGGTGAATGCTTCAGATAGTGTATCTGTGTCATTGTTGAGGAACCTAAGCTTAGGAAACCGCCAATCCTATAAGGGACTGCTAGCAATTCTGCCTCACATTTGACATGGAAGGATATTTTGTCTGTACTATTCTTGTCAGAATTCAATTCTGCTTTCCATCTCAGAAGGAGACACTCTCTGTATCTTCCAAAGTTGTTTTTTATACTAACATTCTAAAAAATAAATGTAGTCGGTGAACTTTGGACATTTCTTTACTCTGTGGCAGAAGGGACATGGACTCTTCCTGTTGCTGCATTTAAAAAAATTGTCAGTGTAAACTTCTTGCACTTTGTTTGTTAAATTTATTTTTGGAGCTAGAGTGTGTTTCTCCTATGGTGTAAACTGAGATAGAGTTTGCTCAGTACACAAAGAGGAATAGGACTAGCAGCATGCCCCATGACTCATCAAAGAATTGATAATAGTGCAAAGAAGAGAAAAAGTAAGTGGCCTGGGCTGGAACTAGCCAGACTCTCCTCTGCCGTATGGCACAGACTACTGGCAGCTTCCAGATGGAGTAAGAAAGGTGTGAGAGAATTCAGGACTTCTGGGCTCCTGCCCATGGACTCGGAGGGCCTCTAAGTCTTGCAGGACTCCAGTCCCTCACAGGAGACTGTATTATCCATAGCCATGCTCTGTGCTCTGTGAGAGCCCACCTTGGAGTGGTGCAGAAAAAAAGCAAGCTTTGAGCAACTCCAACTGCCATATCCCAGGCACTTAACCCTTGCAGGCAGCTGCTTTCTAGCAAGCCTGGGAGGGAATGACCCCCAAGGGTAAACTCTCTGGCAGTAGACAGTTCCTGGCTGGGAAAGGATGCAGTGAGAACAATTGAAGCCCCAAGGCTGCACTTTGACATTCAGAAGACAGAGTGCCTGAGGCTAATGTGGGGAGTCAGATGGGACTCGTTGCCCTAACAACCTCTTACTCCTCTTATAAATTCTTCTGTGCCCACCCTGCACAACAAGGTTACCCCAGTGGCCTGTGATTCCCTCCTAATTGCTACTGGGGTAGTCAAGAATGCACGTAGGGGGGATGCTTCAGATCCTTCCCCCCCAATGCCCTTGAGGGCTCAGAGCAGAGAACTTGGGTATTCCCAGAACCCCAGGTTGGCTGAGCACTTCCTTGGAGCAACACTCTCCAAGAAACCCCACAGCCACCATCAAATTGGCTCCCTTCCACAAGTTCCGCCTCATTACTGGAGGTCAATAGCACAGCCTATCACATCTGATATAATACCTCAGTTTTGGGGAAGACCCGACCCCAGACAGGATCAGCAATAGACAGATCATCAAGGCAGTAGATTGGATCAGCAATAGACAGGATCAGCAATAGATCATCAAGGCAGAAAATCAACAAAGAAACGTTGGAATTAAACTGTACCCTAGAAAAAATGGAGCTAACAGAGATCTACAGAATATTCTACCCCAAAACTATAGAATTTATAGTTTTTCTCATCAGTACATGGAATATTCTCTCAGTGAGACCATATGATAGGCCACAAATCAAGTCTCAATAAATTTTTTTAAAAAGAAAGTATATAAAGCACACAGTGGAATAAACCTAGAAATTAACTCCAAGAAGAACTCATGAAGACAAACAGAAACATGGAAGTTAAGCAATCTGCTCCTGAATGATCCTTGGCTCAATAGTGAAATCAAGATGGAAATTTAAAACTTCCTCAGAACAAATGACAACAATGAAATAAGTTACCAAAACCTCTGTTACACAGTCAAGCTATGCTCAGAGCAACATTTATAGTGATTAGGGCCTGCATTAATAAAACTTAAAGATCATATATTAACAACCTAATGTTGCACCTCAAGGAACTAGAAAAATTCAAACAAACCAAACCCGAAGCTAGCAGAAAAAATAACAATTATTCAGAGCAGAACTAAATGAAATAGAAATAAAAAAAAAATACAAAGGATCAGTGAAACAAAAAGCTGGTTCTTTGAAAAGATAAACAAAATTGATAGACCATTAGCTAGATTAAGAAACAGGGAAGATTCAAATTAGCTCAGAAATGAAAATGGAGACATTACAAATGATATGACAGAAATTGAAAAGGTTATCTGAGGCTATTATGAACACCTCTGTATAAACAAGCTAGAAAATCTAGAGGAAATGAATAAATTCTTAGACTTATGCAAACACCCAATCTTGAATCAGGAAGAAATAGAAACCCTGAACAGACCAGTGGCAAGATTGAAACAGTAACTAAAAGTCTCCCCCCAAAAAATGTCCAGGACCCGATGGACTCACAGCTGAATTCTACCAGACCTTCAAAGAAGAACTGGTACTAGTTTTAGTAAAGCTATTCCATAAGATCAAATAGGAGAGAATTCTCCCTAGCTCATTCTACGAGGCCAGTAACACTCTGATACCAAAGTCAGGAAAAGACACAACAACAAAAACAAACAACAATAAACATAGATGCAGAAATTTTGAAGAAAACATTAGCAAATCAAACTCAACAGCACATAAAAAATAATCCATCATGACCAAGTAGACTTTATCTCATGGATGCAAGAGTGGTTCAACATACACAAGTCAACAAACAGAATTAAAAACAAAAATCATATGACCATTTTAATAAATGCTGAAAAATATTTGATAAAATACAGCATTTCTTCATGACAAAATCCTCAGCAAAATAGGCATAGGGGGAATATTCCTCAAAATAATAAAAGTCATATACAACAAAACCACAGATAATGCCATCCTGAACAGAATAAAGTTGAAGGTATTCATCCTCAGAACTGGAACAAGGCAAAGATGTCCACTTTCATCACTCCTATTCTCCATAGTACTGGCAGTCCTAGCTAGAGCAATCAGGCAAGAGAAAGAAATAAAGGGCATCTAAATGGGAAAAGAAGAAATTAAACTATCTCTGTATGCTGAAAATTATGATTTTATATTTGGAGAATCCTAAAGATGCCTCCAAAAGACTCCTGGACTTGATAAACACATTAATTAAAGTTTCAGGATACAAAATCAACACTGCTATACACTGATAGTGACCAAGCTGAAAATCAAATCAAGAACTCAATCCCATTTATATCAACAGCCAAAAAGCTAAAATATATATTTAACCAAGGAGATGAAAGATCTCTACAAGAAGAACTACAAAGCACTGATGAAAGAAATTGTGGAGGACACAAGTAAATGGAGAAACATACCATGCTCATGAATTGGAAGAACATTGTTAAAATACCATATTACTCACAGTAATTGACACATCCAACACAATCCCTATCAGACTACCAAAGTCATTTTTAGAATTGAAAAAAAAATCTTCAAATTTTTACAAAATTTTTCTAAAATTTTCAGAATTAGAAAAAAGCAATTCTGTAATTCATATGGAATGAAAAAAGAGCCAGAATAGCCAATCAATCCTAAGCAAAAAGAACAAAGCAGGAGACATCACATTACCTGATTTCAAATTATACTACAAGGCTGTAATAACCAAAACAGCATGATACTGGTACCAGAATAGACACATGGACCAATAGAATAGAATAGAGAATCTAGAAATAAACACAAATACCTAAAACCAACTGACCTCTGACAAAGCAGATAAAACATATACTAGGGAAAGGATACCCTGTTCAACAAATGGTGCTTGGAAAATTGGATAGCCACTTACAGAAAAATGAACTGTGATCCCTGTCTCTTCCCATATATAAAAATTAACTCAAGATGGATTAAAGACTTAAATGTCAAACCTGAAA